TAACAGTGTATTCCAGGCAGAACGCATAAAGTCTGATTTCCCACTGCATCGCCATGGAGAGATAGTAAAAATATGGTCATGAATTCCGTGAGACTCGGAATAGAGAATAACTGTGCTGCCGAGGACCATCAGCACTTTAGCCGTCAGTTCTATGCCCTGTAGAGACAACCGGTAGTGTAGTTGGCACTATGCTACAAGTCGGAAATTGCTGTTAGAGACTGAGTCGGTCCAAGAGCCATAGTGGGGCTGAAAGTATTAGGTCAAGTGGAAAATCTAATGATCTCATTGGTAATGGAAACCGTGACCTTCCGGCTTCTAGCACTTGTGTACCACAAAAACACCAGGTTTTTGTGGTACACAATTTCTATACAAATATACGATACGCACAAATTTCTCGTACTTGCATTGTTGAAATGACTTCACTTACCATTACTATCATGGCTGATACCAGCATTACTGCATCATTAGCCTAATATTTGCGTTCTAAATCCATTTTGTCGTTTTACATTTTTGCTTCCAACTAACCTCAGAGTGGGTTGTGTCCTCATCTAACTTTGGTCTCATATTTGATTTATGAAAGATATAACGGTAACATTAGCATCTGCAACCTGTTGAAAATTGGTGCATCAGGAGCACATTAACGTCACTACTGTATCCTTCACTTATTATAAATAATAACTGTTCTTCCCGTCTTTTACATGGTCGTCCATTGTCTCTTCTGTCTCTTAGCAACTTCTACATGCTTCGATCTGGTTTCTTGCATATTTCTATTCTTGGACCATGAAAATGGAAGGACATATTCCTCCGAAACATCGATTGATTTTCAACGGATTACATGACGTTATATCCCACAGGGCTGTACTCTTCATAACCAGCGCTGTGAGGACCTCATGTCCTACATCAACATCCTTAAGGCACGTCCACATTACTTATGCTCGTGCTCGCGGTTGTGTGACTCGCTATGCTCGCGAGTAATGTGGACGATGTGACAAGTCACGAGACAAGCAAATTTTAAGTTGTTAATTTAAAAACTATAGCCAATAAATTAAAATACGACTACAGCCTATACACACTACGAGTAAATATAC